TCTCCCTCGCTGAGAACCCATCAGAGCAACCATCTTTAAGTACTCCAGTTTGCCATGCGTCTGTCGCACACGCTGTTTCCTCAACTTGGAAGACCTTCTGGGCTTTCCTAAACACGCTTACACATGTTTTTTTGTATCTTCTTTGTTTAGTAAAACCTTATTCACTAGTATACTCTGATAAAATAATGAAAAAACAACTGACATATACACTTACTTATGTAATTCTTCTGCTTACTGAATGTGCTCTACAGAGTGGGTTCCCAAGTCTCTAGGATCTAAATGTCCCAGGGTAAATGGAATTTCTTTTATATTGCCTTTTTAATGGAATCTACATGAAAGACTGTTGTATGCTACCAGTCTTCACATTATATAATAATATATGAACTCAGACAGATACATATGAGGAAGGAGTCCTCATCAATCTCCACTGTCATGATACTATATCAAGTAAGTTGTATTGCTGTTAGGTGCTGTCAAGTTGAGTATGACTCATAGCGATCCAATGAACAAAAGATCTAAAGCTAGCCCTGGCCTGCACCATCCTCAAACCTCCCAACACACAAGGGCCCATTGCAGCAGTCACCTTGTCAATCCTCCTGCTTGACGGTCTGCCTCTCCTTCGGTGACCCTCCAGCCTTTCCAACACCATGTCCCTCTCCAAGGAATAGCATCTCCGAGCAATATGTCCAAAGTATGAGAGGTGAAGCCTCATCATTCTTGTCTCCAAAGAGCACTCCAGCTGCACCCTCTCCAAAACATATCTGTTTGTTCTCTTGGCTGTCCATGAGATGTTCAGTGCTCTTCTCCAACACCACAGCTCAAAGGTGTCAAGTCTTTTTCTGTCATCCTTATTTCATTGTCCAGGTCTCGGATGCACAGCAAGTAATAGGAAAGACTATGACCTGAATCAGATGCACCCTAGTCCTCAAACTGACATTACTACTCCTCAATAGTTTGGAAAGGTCCCTAACTGCAGATTTTTCCATTTCAATGTGTCCCCTTATTTCCTGACTGCTCATACCAAGGGTGTTAATTGTACATTCAAGCAAGAAGCAATATGAAGATGACGACAGTATGAATCTCCTCTCCATCCATAATGACACTGCCTATTGGTCCAGTGGTAAGAATCTTTGTTTTCTTGATGCTGAGATGCAATCCATACTGAAGTTTGCATTCCTTACTCTTCTGCAACAAGTGCTTCAAGTCCTCCTTACTTTTAGCAAGTAAAGTTCTGTCATCTGGATTACGCAGGTTATTGATGAGTCTCTCTTCAATCCTGATGCCACACTCCTCTTCATAGAGATCAAGTACTTAGTACCAATATACATGAACTTCAGTTAATATGATGTCACACAAGGTGAGAACCACCTGCATCTATTTTTTTGACATTTATAGTACTCATTTTCTTCCAATAGCTTTGTGTCATTGTGTTCACCATTGACTGGGTGGTAAGAACAGTGCTCAGCTCATCATATGCCTTCCCTAAATATTTCATAAAGTAATCTTTTGTGTCCTTTGCCATAGGGTCTCTTCCTCTCCCTTAAACACAGCACAGGTTTCTAACATTTCTCCCAATATATGATGTTGCCATTGTTGGATGTCATCAAGTCAACTCCAACTCATGGTGACCCTATGTACAACAGCCCATCAAAATATTCACTATAGCATGGACCCAGTACCACGTTGTCATTGGTTGCTGGTGTTGTCAAGTCAAGTAAACCTCATAGCAACCCTGTGAACAACAGATCTGAACCTTGTCCTATCCTGTGCCATCCTCACAATCTCTGGCATGCTCAAGCATGTGGACTACAAGAATTATTTCTTATTGGTTTGGTTCAGTATACCTATCAACGCAACACACACAGAATTCCAACTCAAAGAATAAGCCCCCTATGCAACACTGTACAAAGGCGGAAGTGGGAAAGAATCCAATACATACGTGTAGTTTCACTTCCGCGGAGTCCTTCACTAGCTGTGTGGGGATATATTGCGAAGACTGCTAGCTGGTATTCGGTCAAAGACATCAAGTTTTTCAGCACCGTGGAAGATTCACTACCATCCACCACAACCTGTTTCAAGAACAGTCCAAGAAATGTGAGGACAGGAGAGTTCATACACAGAATTGCAATCAAAAGGTAAAACTATCTGGAGCAAGAAGCTTTCATCAAATATGTTCTGATATGCACCATTTGTATGTGCTCAATTCTCCTTGAATTCCTACCAGAAGAGGTATGCCTTTCCCCCCCACCCCATGTGTCCCCAAGCCCCTTATTAATTAATATTTAATTGAAACCCTGCCATTCTCAGGCTTATTCTTATTTTATCACATCTACTTAATCACAGCAGATGTGATTTTTTCCCCCCATTGTTTTGGGAAGCATTTTAAAGACTTACTAGTCATGAAATGATAGAAGCATTGGAAGTACTCTAATTTGTTCTTGGTCCAGATGACTTAAGACTCTGTGATCTACTTGTCTAGCACTCAAAAAAAAAAATAAATCCTAAATCTTGCCATAATAGAGAGAACATTGTGAAATGCATTGAGGTCAGCAAAAGGGCAGAGCAGTGACAGGAAAGGGAGATGCCATCACATGTTAAGGCCGTCCCTGTGAATTTCTGTATCCAAGGTAGGACGAGAGAGCGATCCAACCATCTGGTGGTGGGTATTCTCGCCTAGGCTCTCCAAGTCACAAAAAGACCAGCCACAGCTGTTTTCTAATGCTTTCTCCATCACACTGTCTCCACAAATGTCCAGGAAACTCCAAGCCCTGGACGACTTGCTTATATGACCACATGATTTGGAACACACAGACTTTATAAAGGCGGAAAGCCCAAATCATTCCCAAAGAAAAAAAGAATGTATGAGTAGCAAAAGAGAACTCTGGCCAGTTAAAACTCATTACTTTTTAAAAGTTTGGGATAAAAAAAGCAAAGCAAGTTATGCTACAAATGGAGACCTCAACCTGTTTTGAGGGTTTTGGATAGAGCAGCAAGAAAAAAAAAAAAAGATATAAATATACATCCCAGAGAGACAAGAAAATGACAGACACAGACACATAGATACACATTTCTGTCAAATAATTAAAAATGCTTATAGCATTATAATCACCTTATATAACAATTGCTATCTTGTTCTCACTGTTCATTGAAGATTTGAGAGAATAAAAAAAATTGCTTGAAAACATTGTCTCCTATAAGCTCGGCTAGGGAGATCTGGTAGTCTAGTGATTAAAGAGGTTGTACTCGCAACCCAAACACAGGAGGTTCAAATCCACCAGCTGCTCCAAGGGAGAAAAATGGGCAATCTTCTTCCATGTGATTTACAGTCTTTGGAAATGCACTGAAAACTCAGCTAGGATAAAGTTCTGACCCCATAATGATAATTTTAACTCTGGTGGCCTAGTGAGTAAGGAGCTGTGCTGTTAACCCAAAGACACGCAGTTCAAATCCACTGGAAGCTCGGCAGGAGAAAGATGGGCAGTCTCCTCCCATGCAATTTACTGTCTCTGAAAACCTTCTAGAGGGTCAGCTGTGAGTCACTTCCAACGCAATGGTACCAAACAACAGTGGCACAGTGGTTAAAGTACTCAAGTGCTAACTTGAGTTAGCAGTTCCAAATCAACAGTTAGCTGTCAGGAGAAAGATGTTGGCACTCTGATTCTGTAAATATTATAGTGTAGGAAACCCTCTAAGGCAGTTCTCTGATGTCTTATAGTGTTACCATTATGAATTTAATTATGTCCTCTTGAAATGTGTCAACTTGACTAGGCATGATTCCCCACAGTGTGTGAGGGGTCTGATGTAATTGTTCTCTATGTTGTAAAGGTTAACCTTAACCTCTATGGTGTTAAGGAGAGATTATTTGAGGCAGTTATTGAAATGAGTCAGGATGCAGTCCAATATACTGGGTTTGATTATATTTTGAGTCAATCTCTTTTCTGATTTAAAGGAGTTTAAACAAGTGAACATAAAGAGGAGAACCTCAATACACCTTCAAGGAAGAAGTGCTCAGAAAAGAGAGTGCCTTTGGACCCTGGGCCCCTCCACTGGGAACCTCCTAGACTCCTGGGAATATTGATAAAACCCACGAAAATCTCCAAGGAACACCAAGCCCACAGACATTGAAAGGACTTTTCTGCAGAGCCCTGAGAGAGAGAGAAAGTATTTTATTAGAGATGGTTCTCTCAATTCAGGCTTCTAGCCTCACAAACTATGTCTGTTAAACTATCCACTCTTAGTATTTCTGTTATAGTAACACCAGATAACAAAGAGAGTCACTATGAATCAGAATCTATTACCTCTTCTGGTTTTCCACCCCTGGTTGGATAATACACAACTCTGTATTTTTTCACATTTCCTGGGGCATGAGTCCAATTAACCATGAAGCTTCTGGCAGTGACTTCAGAAGTAATCAATTCTGTAGGTGGTCCAATGGTGACAAGAGCTAAGGCTAGATTAAAACAAAACCAAAGCCATGGAAATCTCATTAGTCAGAAAGGACTACTGATATGATATTCCTTCTAAAATTGTTATCATCAGAAAATTTGATTTTTTATTAGGACAACTTATTCTTAGGTAAGTTACTCATCCTCATGCTTGTTCATTCAAATAATTCAAACTTTCAAATGTCTATTAGAACATAATCTCAAATCCAAGAAACTTCCTTCAATAAATGCATTGCTATAGTATAAAACGATCCAATATTAATTAAGTACCTGTGCATATAAAGGTTCTCTTACAAGTTCTTTCAAAGTATATAATTTACTTTTCAATAGTTACTATTATTGTGCCCATTTTGTAAATTGTTAAACCAAGGAACAATGAAATTAAGTAACAGAGCTGAGACTGTATCTAGATATATCCAGACATCAGGGTTTATGTTTTTTTCAGCAACACAAAGCAGCCTTTATGCTGAAGACTTCAAGGAAACAGAAGGTCAATAATTAGAAGTGAAAAAGAAAAACGAACTCTGGTAGAATGTTTATGAGCTGGACACTACATAAGCACTTTGTGTATTCTAGGCACATGCAAAAGATCCCATAAAGATCTGAGATAGATGGAAGTCTGAGAAGGAATAAAATGTATGTACATAAATATTCACAAGATATATTTGACAAAAGTGCGAATCAAAAAATAGGGGGGAAAGGCAGAAAGGAGAAAAAACAGGTGCTGGTGTAAGTGCCTATCCGTAACCAAAACACGAACTCTGAGCTAAACGTCAAACTTTTTATAAAAATTAACTCAAATGGATCATGGACTTATATGTAGAACAAAAGTAGACACTATTTTAAAGGAAATTTTCCAAATATAGAGCCAGGCAAAGAGTTCCTAGGCATGGCACCAAAACCACTATCCATAAAACAAAGAAATAACAAATAGAACTTTGTAAAACTTTTATACTCTTGTTCCTCAAAAGACTAGGAGAAAATATTTATAATCCAACAAAGCATTATATCTAGGATGTGAAAACTCTCAAGCAAAAAGTAAAAAAAAAACAAGCAAACAATAACAAGCAAAGCCCAATGAAAAATAAACATTCCACCAGAGAAGATACACAAACAGCAATTAAGCACACGAAAAAAGGTTGAAATCAGAATAGCTAAACAAATAATAAATGTTGGCAGAATCGCAGAAACTCTATGATCCACCCGCTGTTGGTGGGAATGTCAAGTAGTATAGCCAACCTGGATAATAGTTTGGCAACTTTTAAAAAAACTAAGCTTATGATACAATAATTCCATTGTGTACTAAGCCAAAGAGAAAAAAGTCACACAAAAACGTGGAGCACAACATTCTCAGCAGCTTTGTTGACAGTTAGCCAAAACAGGTAAGATCCGAGATGTTCTTCAGTGGACGAATGGTTAAACCAACTATGGTGCGTGCATCCCCAAGAAGGCAACTCGGAAGACTTCAGTAAAAAGGACGCACCCACCAGTGCATGGGTCTCTAGATCCTGAGCTTAAAAGCCATTTCCAAAAGATTACATATGGCATGATTCCATGTACATAAGAAAAAAATGAAACGAAAGCATGATAGAAATGGAGAACAGATTCCTGGTTATTAGGAGGTAGGGAGAGAATGGAATAGAAATGACAGTAGGCAGCACAAGAGGAAATGTTCTGTATTCTGATTGTGCTATGTATGGTACTACAGTTTTCAAGGTGTTACCACAGAGGGAGGCACACATCAGGGTTGGGGGGAGACTGAGAAAGACAGGCTAAATTATGTATACTGCATTGAAACAGATGAGGGAGAGAACTGTTTAAAAGCGACATATGATAGGGTATTATGGCCATGACAAGAATCCAGAATGAAGGTTGCATAGTGGAGTGGACTCCGGGATAGGGGGTGGGGATTTTATACCAATGAAAGAATTTTTCTTTTACTTTTCAAAGATAAGAGTGAACTGGGGGAGGGGAGGGGAGGGAGAAAAATGCAACATTGAATGAACACAAATCCAAAATCTCTGTAAAGGTTCATTAAAATGAATAATAATTTAAAAAAGAATTAAAAAAACATACACAGTATCTCTTTATACCATCTCTTATTTGTGTATGTGACTCCACAATTATTTCAATACTATTAAGTTTCCTTTTTGTGCTGCATGTAACAACATCACAGAAAGTTTTCACATCCTAGATACTAATCTTTTGTTGGATTATAAATTTTCTCCTGGTCTGTGGCTTGTATTGTTATCCTAACAGAGAGTCTTTTGAAGAACAAAATTATAAAAGTTTTACAAAGTTCTATTTCCTATTGTTTGTCATCAACCCCTCACAAAGCCCATCTGTGTCTCTTTTCTAAGATCAATCAATCAGGTCTTAGGGGATGAAAAGACTCAATTCAGAAAGCCAGCACAAGACAGGACACTGGAACGTTAACGATCAACAGCAGACGTGTGTGCGGGGTCCTGCCACCCTCCGCGTCCCAGCACCCTCGGTCAGCGGCTTCACCTTTGATTTCCTTGTCCTGCTCCTCCACCCGGGAGCACACGGTCCTGGTCAGGCTCTCCACCACCGTGTGCATCAGATCAAACTCCGCCACGTTGTACACGTGCGTGCTGTCGGGCTCCGAGGCAATCTCCTGCAGCTCGTTCACATCTGCGTTCTTCACCCCTTGCATTGAGGAACAGATGAAGAATCTCGTGACACGCGTGTCCCGGAACAGGGGAAGAACCTCGTGACATGCATGTCCCACGTGCAGGAGGACCCACACTGGTCACACATGTCCCGCGGGCAGGAGGATCTGAGCTGGTCACACCTGAGCCAGCCAGCCCACCTCCACTGCAACTGAAGCTTCTCCACTTAAAAGTGGCAAGAGATAGCTGGGTGACTTCTAAAAGGCACCTGAGAAGCTATTGTCATGACAGGAGTCCAGAATGAAGGCTGCATAGTGGAGTGGACTTGGGAGCGAGGGACTGTTTAACAGTCAAAGAGTTTTTCTTTTACTTTTCAAAGAGAAGAAAGAACTGGGAGGGAGGCTGGGCAGGGAAAAAAGTGCAAAAATTAATTAATGGAAATCCAAAGTCTCTGTAAACTTTCATTAAAATTAATTTAAAACACACACAAATGCAATTCAGTGTAAAAAAAAGATTTAATCTTATTTTTATTTCTGTACGTCTCGACAGGAAGATGGTTATAAAGAACAAATACCTGGTTGCATAAATACAGCAGAAGCAATACTTATTATTAAACCAGAAATCAAAACTCTCCAAGTTCCAGGGTAAAATTTCTAAAATATTAATTTCCATAAATGGAAATTCACCTGGGAAAACAAAAAAAACATCTAGATCTACTTAAATTTAGATGTTGATGCTCTCTGTGCCTTAGAGTTGGAATCGATGCTACAGCTGCCCCTCCAGCAGCAGGTTTTCAGAGACAGTAAACCGCACAGGAAGAACCCTAGAACAGCTGGTAGATTTGAACTGCATGCCTGTGGGTGGGCCGTGTACCTCCTTACCACATTTAAACTTAGAAAATCTTTGAAACAAAAGGTCTAGAAGCACTGGTGGTGGCTGGGATTAAATGCTGAGCTGCTAACAGAAACATCACAGGTTCAAATCCACTAGAACAAGGCAGTTAGTTCATTTCTAGAAGATCACAGCCTTAGAAATGCTGAAGAGAAGGTCTACTCCATGACAGAGAGAAAGAGAGAGTGTGTGTGTGTAAAGACAGAGAGAAGCCTAGCAGCATAGTGTCTAAGGCTTCGGGCTGCTAACACCAAGGTCAGTAGTTTGAGTTCACCAGATGCTTCAATTAAGAAAGCTGGGCATTTTCCTCCTTAAAAAAAAAAAAAGTACAGCTTCAAAAACCCACTGGAGGGTTGCAATGAGCTGCTATGAGTCAGAAATGACTTGACAGCAGTGGTTTGGCTTTTTGTATCATATATACACACACACGTGCATGTAAATATATTTATTAGGGAACTCTGGTAGCCCAACAGTACAAAGCTGCACTGCAAACCTTAAGGCATGTGCTTCCAATCCACCCGCTGCTCCATGTGAGACGGGTGACCAGCCTCCTCCCCTGTGACTCACTGCCTCTGAAAACCCACATGGGCAGGAAACAACTCCACAGCACACAACAACAACATATTTAAATGTTAGGTTTGCTTCTATTTAGATATCACTAGAAAACACAAACAAGGCCAAACCCACAGCCTTTAAATCAACTCTGACTCACGGAGACCCTGACAGAATTGACCCGTGAGGTCCAAAGGCTGTAAGTCGTCACTGAAGCAAATCGCCACAGCTTTCTTCCCCACAGAAGCTACTGGGTTTAAAATGCTAACTCTTGTTAGAAGCCAAGTGATTTTACCACTGCACCATCAAGACTTCTACACACCAAAAAAACCCTGCAAAAGCTGAAACCTGTCAGTAAAGGGAGGGGGGAAAAATAAAATAGTTTCCAATCAAATCAAATGGAGAAGAGAGAAAAATGGTAACACCTTTTCAAAGGTAGGAAAAACAAAACCCAGGTAATCTTATCACGTTTCAGCTGTCATGGGTTACACTGTGTGCGCGGGGGTGGCACAACTACACACACACACACACACACACACACACACAGACTTGAATTTAAATACTCCAAGGGTGAGAATAATATAATATTGTTACGAGGCGCTATTGAGTCAACCACAACTCATAATGACCCTGTGAATGACAGACTGGAATCCTGCCCTGCCCTACAGTGACATCACGACCTCCATCAAGCTCAAGCCTATATTGCTGCCATCACTGTGTCAGTCTGTCTCCTTATTTCCCTAAGGATCTTCCTCTCTTCACTAATACTGGGGGGGGGGGGGGATTGCTGTGATGCCGAACACTGTGCCACTAGTGTGTCAAATGCCATAATGGTTACCCATGGTGAGCAGTGTTTGGTGGATCTCTCAGATCAAGACAGGCTTGGAAGCAGGAGTGGCATCCACTTCCTAAACAACCTGTCTCTAGAAGCTCTACAAACTTAGAAAAACGATGTTATAGAACAGGGTACAGGTCTTTTGTTCATAGGGTCGCTATGAGTCATGCTCGACTCAATGGCACTTGACAACAAACAACATATATTATGTACCAATTAGAAACAGAAAAAAAGGTAGAAAGCTTAGGAAAATAAGCTTTAATACACTAAAATACATGTTGCCCTGTAGTAAGCACTGCAGTTTTGCTAATACAACATGCAAGCTCTTTGGTTTTCCTGTGGCATTTATGGTGTTCCGCTACAATTCCAGCCAAATGTGGGCTGCTTTGAAGAGAGCAAAATCCAGGCAGAAGAGCCTCCTTCCTCACGCACGTCCACTCTGCCTCAGTAACGGCAGCTAACAGAGTGAGCTTACCGGGTTTTCATTTCAGAAGAAAGCATGTTGTGTTTATTAGCACATTTATTTTTGTGGTGGTCATGGTTTTTATCTCTCTTGCAAAGGAGTGAATGAATGATCTGAAAGATCAGTTAATTTCCTCAAAACATAATTCACAGTGGGGACTTCAGTCAGGCAATCTGGAGCCACTGATCTGTGTGCAAAACCGTTACTTAGAGCATACTGCCTGCTCTCTGAACATGGATGACTATCTCTAGTGAATTTACATTTCCAGTGCGATCAGAGACAGTAAAGGGAGCTACAAGGCTGGAGTAGTTAGTGGCAGTGTAGATATCTTTTCATTTTTGCATCAGCAAACAGGGAGGATTTCTTTGTAAAACCCTGTCACTGCAATTACTAGATGGTGTTAAGAAGATCAGCTGAAGCAAGGAAGAGAAACTGCCTGCAGCAACAGTGACTTCACTTCCAACTTTCAACAAGTGAGGTACAAAGAGGTGGCTGTCCCTTAGCTATTTGCTTTACAAGCTTGTAAAATAACCAACACTGTTGACTTCCAGAGAAGAGTCCAAAGCACATCCATATAAATTCACTTAAAAGCTTGCTTAATAACCTATCTAGCCATTATTAATAAGATCACAAAAAGGAAGGTAAACACAGATTAATTCACCATTAGTTTAAGTCTTCCATGGGGTTTTCCTTTGTTGAACAAAGGAGTATCGGGCGGAAATGCCTGGTGATTTTTGCCTAAAGGATTTCTACAAAGTTTAGAAAGTACACATTTTCTTCTGTGTCCACAATTATAAAATTGAATGTAGGGGAGTTCAATTATAAAATCGAAGCAGAGAGCTTAGGGCTAGCAATGTACTATGGCAGCCAGTTAAAAGCATGAATAAATTTAGATTCACATAAGAACATCCTACAAAGGAGATTATAAAATATTCCCCCCCACCAAAAAAATATAATAATAATCCAACCAGTACAATACCCTATAGTAAAACAAGGAAATGATAGTGAGTTTGTTTCTCAAAGAGCTGTTCAACTTCGTGCTGAACAACCCAGCAAGATGTCTGGCACAGAGCAAAGAATAGAATGCTTCTTAAAGGAAACATTCTGTCAAATATATTTTAAGTAACAAATCAAGGAGTGGGCCAGAAATTGTTTCCCTCCCTGACAGCTCAAACCTGAAGTGAAACAATATAGAAGCCAAGCCGACCTGAGTCAGTCCCTAAGACAACCTTGATGCTTGTCTTGGAAACTGGAGTTGTCATATGATTAAAAACAGATTCATGCTTCTCTATGCTCTGGTGGCCTCGTGCATAGCGTCCATCCCCACTGTTAAGACAGGACCCAAGTCACACACACCTATGGCGAACAGTTCTACGCCAGATTCACGGAGGTTTCGGGACGGCGGGATAATATCATCTTGGGATTTTCCATCCGTAATTAAGATGCCAATTTTTGACACTCCAGTTCTTGCTCCTGCTTCTGGTTTAAAACTATTTTCAAAAATGTAGTTCAAGGCAAGACCTGAGAACAAAAGAAAAAAAATATATGCAAGCCAACAATCTCTAATAAAAAGCCTGCTAAGTCTACAAAATATAACCACAGATGAGTAACTTACTAAACTTAAAGAGCTTTTATTAGATGGGAACTTTTCTTTTTTATGAGTTTCTCCTTGACAGAACTAATGAGAAATTAATGTTCACAAGAACAGAAGAATCGAACATGGCATCATTAAAAAAAAACAACAACCTAGCATATAGTTAAAACAAACAAATATTTAACTCATTGTGGTCACTGATAATAGAAATCGTGTAGGCGAGGATATCTAAATGTGTATCATTTGGGAGGAAGCTGGAATACTCATACAGAAGTGATTTTCCCAGATGCCAGCACAGGACTATCAGTTTTATTCAGGACAGTCCAAGGTATCAAAAAAAATCTCTCCTTTTTTTTCCAGAGTATGGAAGAAGATCTAAGGTTGTGATTAAACCCCTACCGTTTGGGTGTGAATCTTCCTTTACAAAAAAATATTTTTGTTCAGTAGTCTTTTTGAACTGCTAATTAGACTTCTATTTTTTTTTTTTTTAATGCCTCAAATTACCAAAGCAAGAGTCAGGACTTTAGGGATTCTTTTTAAAAACAATGAGAACATCAATTCTGTTTAAGCTGAATATCTGTACTTGATGTGCCTTGGGAAAAAGAAACAGTATATATTAAGGTTAAAACTTGGGCAAACTGATAGTCTTTATATCATGAATGAGTATAATCTCTTATGTTCTTAGGCTACTTGTTCATAAATAATACAGGTAAGCCAAAAATTCTCCAAACTTCATGAGCATAGTGGCTAAGAAATTCAATTCATTGAGAATGATGGGGGCGGGGGGAGGAAAGCCTCTATTCCTTGGGGAAAAAAGAAAACAGTCACATTCATTGAAATAATATGGTGACTAGGGTTGGAGACAGTGATAGCTCATGAATTTGAAGGTGTTAACCCCACAGACTGCTCAGTTTTTCCCAAGCCCAGCCAAACCTTTCCTGGAACATTGTAGTCAAACTGTCGAAGAATGAGATGGCTGGGTTTGAACACTTTGAAAGAGTTTGAGGAAAGCGTCATCTACAACTTTTAGTTGCTATAGTTGAAAAGTATCATGATAAGTTTCACAGAGCTACAGATTGGGATAATACTCCCCCCCCCCCCGCAAGATATGCAGTTGAACGCACAGCCCCCAAGGAAACATACCTGTCATCGTGTTCCCTCCCTTGTATGGTAAATTTCTGACGGCTTCAATCACCTCATCCTTTGTGCTAAAGGCATTCAAGTGCCATTCGATCCTGGGGTCGCCACTGTACTGTGCGAGGCCTGGCAAAGAGAGGTGAAAAACTCCACTCAGCAAGGATGGGATGCGAGAAAACAAATGGGCCGCTCAAGAAACTAAAATGATGAAATTTGCATTCTTTGTAACATTCCCCCCTCTCCTGTCTAGCTATGCCTGTCTCTAAGGAGAACTCTTCCAGTAAAAAACCGTAAGTGTAACTACTTCATGTCTTTTTAACATGGTCTTTTTAAACACAAAATAACTCATTGGGTGCTCTCTAAATAGCTAGAAGATGTGAACACCTTGTTCCCCAACTATGTCTAAAGTCCTCCTTCAATTGATGTCAGGGAGTCTACTCCCTGGCTATTCAAGTTAAACTATGAAATTTTGCACAGTAAGGTGAAGCTATGCTGAAAGATTTACAGTTCTTGCTTTTTGCATTTATCTTGGCTAGAATGAACTTGGCGATTTTGGTAGTCTAAATGCTTTCCAGTTTTCATCACTCAGCATTTCACTGGGCTCTGCTATTTCTTCTAATTGAAAAGAAAGTGGCAAGAGAATAAATTCTTAAAGAAATTATAATTTTAAAGTTTTTATTATTATTATTACCATCATGCAAGAAGGCCTTTGCCTTTAAAACATTAAAATTAGTTCAGTCATTAATAGGACTACAGTGTCACGACAAAAACTAGAAGAAAGACATATTTACTGATTTACAAAGATGTGCTTTTGCTGACATCAGTACCATTGATCTTATGATTGTGAAAGCCATTTGTAGAAAGTTTGTGAAATTTTGTAAAAGGCTTCCAAATTCTTTTACATTGAAAGGTGGCCGCTATTATGAATAAGAAAATAGTACCAATTCGAGTTTTTTCTGAGCCCACATTGAAAGCTGTAACAAGTTTTTCCAAGAAAAGCCGAACCAGTCTGAAGTTGAATCGTCCAATACTCCAGGAACCATCGACAAGGATGACAATATCAGCAATGGCTGGAGTCTTGCAGAAAAACTTCACTTCTGCAAAAGACAGGACAGAATAGCACAAGTTACTTTGGGCCTTTTTAAAAGGGCAAGTCTACTCTACTATCTTTCAGATAACTCAGTGCTAAGAACACAATAAAGTTGTCATTAAAGTAGCCCTGCTTTTACAGCCCTTTTCTTTAATGCATTTCTGCTGGGAAAAAATTGTGGTAACCGTTGGCGGCACAGTCAGTGTTCTGGAAAGAGTTAGCAAAAATCCTGGCAGGTTCATGCTATCCTGGCAACCTGAGGCCTCTGCCAATTTTAGAAAGCGGCATCTGTGCAGAATCCTCCAGTTCTGGGTTGCAGCCCATACGATCTTTCCAGGAAAGCACCTCGCAGCACCAGGTGAGCCCGTCATTGGAGATAGGAAGTCTGCCAGGACACAGAGAGGTGGCTCTCAGATTCCCTCGGGTCTGTGATACAGGAAGCGATAGGAAAGGAGGACCGTGGGCATTCTGGACTCAAGGAAAAGTAGTTTTCACACAGCTAGTCTAGAAAGATGTACAAGTCTTTACTAAAAAAAAAAAAGGATTTTTCGAGAGAAAAAAACCAAACCATTGGAAAAGGACACGGTGTACCTCAAATTCAAACTCTGTTTCATATTCTATTTATGTAACAAAATCATTTTGCCCCTAAATATTTCTACCTGGAAGAATTTCAGAATGGCACAAAATGATAATGTACTTATCATCACTGGACTGTACATGTGAATGCTTTTGGGATGTTAATGTTTTATTACATATCCATTTATCACAGTGAAAATGAAATTTAAAACTTATTCCTAGCCTGAGTTGGGATAAGCTCCAAGTGGAGCATGGTCTGTGACTGGTAACTCAAAGGCACACCACTCTGGTAGTTCAAATCCACCAAGAGATCCTTGGGAGAAACATGGCTCTTCGCCCATGTAATACAGAGCTTCAGAAAAGCAATGGAACATCAACCACAAGTCTATTCAAACTCAGTGACGTTTTTTTAGTTTTAAGTGTAAAAATACATACAGTCTTCACAGAGTGGGCATGAAAAACCTAAAATATTTCTTAGATGACTTAATATTAATTACATACAAACACATATTATATGTAAATTGTGTACTAGTTTGTATATAGTCCTTTTATTATTTTGACTTATATCTGTCAGAGTGCTCACTGAAGGCAAAGATGGCAAAACTTTGTCTCTCACATTTTGGGTATTTTGCTAGGAGAAGCCTGGAAAGGGACATTAAGCTTGGAAAGGTGAGTGAAAGAGGAAGATCCCCGGTGAGAGGGTGACCACAGCAATGGGCTCAAGTGTGTCTGAGATGAGGAGGATGGCACAGGACAGGGCAGGGTTCAAGTCTGTTGTTCGTAGGGTCCCTATGAGTCATACTTGACTCAACAGAACCTAACAACAACAACAACATTCTTTAGTTCATTTCTTCCATTTATATGAACAAAACACATTTTAAAAATCATTTGTGTAAATGATTCTTAAATGGCTGACTTAGGTCTCCAGATAAAGCTCCACGAGCGGAAGTCTAGTGTTTAGAGGGCACTGTCTTTACAGTCATGAAGGTCACACTCACTCCAGAGAAGAACAGGACAAATGGCTACAAGCAGGATCTGAGTGTGGTATGTTTCTGTTCACAAAGTGTGAACTATAATTTATATTCAGTAGTCAAAGCATGGGGATATACTGAAAGTTCTTTTAGAAATAAGAAATATTTAAAAATAGCAGTGTTGTTAGTACCTATGATAACATTGTTTCACACTCTGTTGTTTGCTTTCAAAAAGGTTGGTTAACATTGCTGTGTTTTTAATATTAGAACAAGAAATCATGAACTGTGTGAGTTTATACATTTGTGGTTAAGTATATGAATGCATATGGGTGTGCACATAAGTATGCCCATGTGTGGATGTAGATCTGTTTATTAAGGATCTACCGGAGCGCTGGTAGTGTAGCTGGTAGGGAGTGGTTCTGCTAACTCAAACGAGGTGTCTGTCTCTCTCTGGTGGTTCAAATCCACCAGTGGCTGGGCTGTGGAAGAAAGAGGGGAAATCTCCACCAGTGAGATTTACAGTCTCTGAAAATCCACTGGAGGGTTGGCTATGAGTTGGTTCCAACTCAGAAGCAATAAGACAGAGAGAGAGAGAGAGATAGTGAGAGAGAGAGAGAAAGAGAAACAGAGAGAGAGTCAGTCTATACATCTTGAATATTTTTCATTTTTTTCATGCTCATTCCAACTTCTTGCCAAACTAGCAAATTCCTATTTAGACTTTTGTTTTAACCTTAAAATAACAATAAAACCATAGTTCAAATGTATTTTATGTGGTGGAAATAAAAATACAGAAACACTCATAAATAAATCAAAGATATTTTGTCTGAAGAGAAAAAAATTAAGCCAAAATACTTTAGTTGGAAAAAGTAATTTAAGATGTTTTTCTATACCTATCAGGTCATAATTTGCTAAATGATATTCAATCTTCCTCAGATATAAATATGTGTGGAATATCTTTCCCAGATGGGAAAAAAAATGGATTTTCCAATGAAATGCTTAGATCCCCAATGTGAAAGCTGAATACTCTGGTTCAATCCAAGTTTATATATTATAGGTTTTGGCAGTAAATCCTCTTTCTTCATAACAATCAAATAGAAAACCAGCATTGATTTGGGAGTCACATCTACTGTACCACACGGAAAACATTTTAAAATGATAATGTAAGGAATCATGGGATAGAAAGTAGTTTGGTTTACGGGCACAATTATGGAAAATTAAAGTCTGATTAAGTTTCAAGAATCCTTTATATTCCATTTTTATGAGGGAAATTTACTTTAAAGGAGGAGTAGATTTGTCTTTCTCTTCCAGAGCTATCTGGAGATATTATTTCACTATTTAATTAACAATTTAAGCATACTTTAGGTGAGGTCTTAGGAAAGGGACAATTTTCACTTTTTCTTTTTAGAAGAAGACCATGAAAATTGATATTGTGTTTTAGAAGTTGGTTTCCAAAAAAAAGTTCTGTTTATATAGCATATCCAAATCTTTTCGACTTGGTGATACAACTTCTGTACAGTCCACAGAATACACAACTATTAACTATAAATGAAAATACTGACACATTTAATGATATAAAAATGTTCATCAAAAGGCAATGAAAACCAAAATATGAGTAAAATGAAGATACAGACAATATGAAAAAGTGAAAATTAATGTATATGAACTTTGTAAGCAAACTAACATAATTTTTTAAAAAATTATGTCAGTAACATATACTACATGAGTATGTATTTCAGAGAACAGAAAATATTAAAAAGTAATTAGGAGTCAGCATGTTGATGGGCAATGATATTTTTTAAATAAAATTTTTATCTTATACTGGTTTAATTACAAAGTTCGCATACATTGTTTAACACGAGATCTTTCCCATTTCCTTTTCACACCCCTCCCTCCACTCATCAAATTGTGTGGCCTTATGATTAACCACGCCCCCTATACCCATTTCCCATCCTTCATCCTTTGCTCCCATGTTCTCCTCCTTGGATCCTCATGCATGTTCTACAGTAACGGTCTTACATAGTATTTGTCCTTATGAGGTGTTAGTTCACTCAGCATAATGTTCTACAGTTCCTCCCAAGTTAGGTTACAAAATCATTGCTCCTGCATGCTGCGTAGGATTCCATTCTGTGACTAAACCATAATTTCTCAATCCATTCAATCGTGGCTGGACATCTGGGCTGTTTCCATGTTCTTGTGATGGTGAAAGATGCTGCTAGGAACACTGGTGTACAAGTCTCCATTTGAGCCTCAGTTCTCATTCTCTTGGGGTGTATTCCATGCAGTGGAATATCTGGGTCATATGGAATTTCTATGTTCAGCCAAACTGCCTTCTAGAGTGGTTGTTACCATTTTACAATCCCATCAATAATGTATAACAGTTCCTATCTGGCCACATCCTCTCCAACATTTATTACTTACTGTCCTGTTGAACTTGGACAATGAATACTATTTTATTTGGAATAGTATAATCTTCCCAAATTAAAGCTCTTCCTTTTAAATCTTAGTATCCTTTTTGTTTTCATTGTAGTCGCATTAGGTCTAATTACGGTTGATAGAGAAGTGCTTGTAATGTATTTATGGGGGAAAACAGTTCTCCTCAATATTGTTACACAGATGGAAAAGAGAAGACAAAAAAATGAGTATGTGAACACCTGTTGATCTTTGAAAGCCCAGGGTAAATTTCAGTAATTTGGTATCTTCAGATGAAATTGGCCACGTTCTCTTCTCTATCACCTCCACATTCGGACATATTTCTTCACACTCATCACACTGGGATGTTACAATCTATTTCCATTATATCTCCCTGACTAGACTAGAGGCTCCTTGAGCGGTAAGACATTCATGTCTTTGATGTCATCCTTCCCTTCATTTATTCAGTGCTGTGTATTCAAGCTTTTCCTGCCCTCTCTCCCAGCCCACAGCCATCCTATTGTTACAATAGTGGTCTTATGCAGCATTTGTCCTTTTGTGACTAAGACATTTCACTCATAATAATGTTTTCCAGACTTATTATCCATGCTGTGTTGTGTTTTATGAGTTCAGCATTTTCCAGTGCTGCCTAACTGCATAATATTCCCCTGTGTGGCTGTACTACAATTTCTCTATCCATTTGTTTGTTGATGGCACTTGGGCTGAGATAATTTCATGTCATCTTTTAAGCCCGAGTCCTACTCATTGTTGCTGTTGTTATGTGTCGTTGAAGCACTTGCACCTCACAGCAACACTATGTACAACAGTTCTGAAGCCTGCTCTATCCTGAGTCAGTTCCTTATCTCTGATAGAGGTATCTCCTTCACCCCAGTCACTGAGACAATCTATCTCATGCAGGGTCTTCCTCTCTCATGCTATACGCCTACATATCCAAGCATGATGTCCCTCTCCAAGGACGGATCCCTGACAGCACATTTTCCCCAGTGTAATTCATCCTTTGATTTCCTGGATGCTGGTACCAAGAGTA